CTAGACTCAAACTTAATTATAAGTCTGGTCTGGGTTCGATCTGAAGTCTGCAAACTAGTTCAAGTCCGAATATATTTATATATATATATATTTATTTTTGAACTTCGAACCTAGTGTTTGAACCTATTATTACTTGGATAACCTGGCAGTCCAATAAGCTATATCTTTAGATAAACGTTAACTTTATAAAACAGGAGAAACTGTTGATGTTATATAACTGAATCTTCCCTGGTATGCAATATATAAAAAAATCAATTTACAATATCAAATCATTCTGCTAGTATATATTATAATTATAATCCATTTTTATTATAATAAAATGGCATGAGATTATAATTATAACATATACTAGTGGAATGATCTGGTATTGTAAATTAATTTTTTTATATAGTGCATACTGGGTGAAGTTCAATTGTGTAATATTGACAGTTCTTTTATTAGTCAAGTTGGGTGATTTGTTTTTGTTACTGCTATGGAATTTAAGTAGAAATAAATTCCCAAAAATCATTTGGATATTGTAAGAAATTTGCTGATTTGAGCAATGCCGCTACAAAATATAATATTAGTAAGTTATAATAAAGTATTTGAATACTATAAAAAATCTGCTAATGAATCACCTGACATATCAATCTGGACTTAAAAAAATATTAGATGATAAAAGATTTAAATTATCTTAGATTATTTATGCAGAATAGTTCGATAGAGTTAATAATATAGGCAGTGTTCTGAGAAAAGAGCCCAAATTGATAAAAAAAATCTTTACAAAAAAATCAATTATCTCGTAAACTATTAATCAGAATTGCATGATTTTAGTACCATCTGATTAATCTTATCGAAAGGAATCAAATAGTACCAAAATTACACAATTCTGATCAATAGTTTACAAGATAATTAATTTTTTGTAAAGAATTTTTTTTATTAATTTGGGCCCTTTTCTCAAAACAATGTCTATATATAGAATAGTAATACACTTAAAGTGATTCATAATTCAAATAAAAGCGAGCAAAAATTTATCCATGAATTAAAAAATTATTGTGAAATTGGTTATAAGAATCTATCATTCTTGGAATGCATTGGAGTATCAAAAAATAGTTATAGCAATTACATTATTGGTATGGAATATATATTAAAAGAAATGTTATGACAAATCTTGTACAAATATTACAACTGGAATAGAAAGATAAATTGAATATCTTGTATTGTATAGCTTCGGATCTGGAGTCAATTCATTCGCAAGAAGTTGTTCACAGAGATTTACACAGCGGAAATATTACAAGTATTACAACTAGAATGAAAGACAAATTGAATACCTTGTACTGTATAGCTTCAGATGTAGAGTCGATTTATTTGCAAGAACTTGTTCACAGAGATTTGCATAGTGGAAATATTACAGTCAAACCTCCATAAATGCAACCTCCATAAATGCAATATCTTTCTAAATACATATTTCTGGCCTAGCTATAAGAAATCATTAGTGCTAAATGCACGTTCTATATTCTGCAAATGCATGTTCGCTCAAAAGATTTTCTATATCATACTAACCTTTCTAAATGCACGTAGCCAATCAGAATTTAGTATTCAAGTTGTGTTACACAAGCCTGCAGATCAAACATTAAAAGCTGCAATTTGATTAACTTTCTCTAAATGCAAACCTTCCTAAATGCATGATTGAGACTGGTCTGTACATGTTGTATTTATGAAGGTTTGACTGTACAAGTATTACAACTAAAATGAAAAGATAAATTGAATATCTTGTACTGTATAGCTTTGGATATGAAGTCAATTCATTTGCAAGAACTTGTTAACAGAGATTTACACAGTGAAAATAGTATTACAAGTATCACAACTAGAATGAAAAAATAAATTGAATATCTTGTACTGTATAGCTTTAGATATAAGTCGATTTATTTGCAAGAACTTGTTTACAGAGATTTACACAGCAGAAATATTACAAATATCACAACTGGAATAGAAAGATAAATTAAATATCTTGTACTGTATAGCTTCAAATATGGAGTCGATTCATTTGCAAAAACTTGTTTACAGAGATTTATATAGCAGAAATATTTTGCAAAATAATTTGCATAATGTATATATTACAGACCTTGGACTTTCTAAAAATGTAAAAGGAAAAACTTATAGAATTCTGCTATATATAGCACCTGAGATTTTAGTGGGACAACTATATACTCCAGCATAAGATATTTACAGCTTTGGAGTTATTGCAACAGAGATTTCGAAATGACAAAGAGCATTTGATGGAATTCTGTTTAATAGTGATCTTGTATCAAGAATTATCTCTAGATCATAATTTAAATATTTCAGACCAGATTGTTATATTAAATTCACCATGAAATATATAGATAAAGATATTGATAAATGATCTACTGCAACAAAAATTATTGAAATAAACACACATTGGTTAGATGAAATAGATCAGAAAAATAATAATGAAATCAAAAAACAAATTCTGAGGCTAATAAAATTAAACCAAATCGATTAAGCAAATACATCCACAAGACTTATATACTAGCACTTATATTTTGTACTACTGTATATATCTTTGAATCTTGAATCGATTCATTCACAAGAATTTGTTTATAAAGATTTACAGTGAAAAGTCACTTTAAATAGCATATATATCAGTTCTTGGACTTTCTAAAAAACAAAAAAAGGAAATATTTGTGAAATTTTACTATATAGCACCAGAGATTTTGGAGATCAACCATATTTATGAGACAAAAAGCATTTGATGGAATTCCATTGATAATTGTCTTGCATCAATAATCATCAGTAGATCAAGACCTAAATATTTAGAACCAGATTGTTATATTAAATTAGCTATGAAATGTATAGATAAAGAAGTGATCTACTGCAACAGAAATTATTGAAATAAGCATACATTAGTTAGATGAAATGAATCAGAAAGATAATAATTAAATCAAAAAACAAATTCTGGAGGCTAATAATATTTAAACCAAAATTGATCAAGCAAATACCACAAGTCTTATATATTAGCAAAATATATGATATAAAAAAATTTTAAATATACCTGGGTTTAATGGTCCAACCATTAACTTGTCAGTACCAAATATATATATAAATATATTCGAACTCAGACTAGTTTGCAAACTTCGAACCAGACCTGGACCAAACTCAGACTTGACTAAAAAGTCTGAATATAAAAGTCAGAGTCCAGTTCGAAAATCAGACCAGACTCAGACTTGACTAAAGTCTGGTTTGGGTATGGTCTATAGGAGTATTAGGCTTTGGTTATACCTATATGAAAGTTTTGGATATTAAAAAGACCTAGAACTACCAATATAGATATAGCTAATATAAGTATATATAGTAGTAATTGAGAATACAACTACTAAAAATCACTATAAAAAGAAATAATAATACACTTGTTATTTCTGTGTTTTATAATATCATCTAACTATACTGACTACTATAAGTATTTGCAAAAATATCTAGGTATTTTGTTATTTTATTAAGAAGTATAGTTGTTAGCACAATTACCAAATCCAATATATCAAAGACCTGAATTCTAAAGTTGCAAAAAACCAGCTAATTATAACAGTATACAGGTTTGAAATACTTATTCTATTGGGTAAAGATAGCTGCATAGCTTAAGATATAAACTTCAAATACACCAAACTAAAAGCAATAAACACCTACAGTCAAACCTCCATAAGTACACTGTATACAGACCAGCTTCAATTGTGCATTTAGAGAGGTTTGCATTTAGAAAAAGCTAATCAAATTGCAGCTTTTAATGTTTGATCTGCAGGCTTGTATAACACAACTTGAATACTGAATTCTGATTGGCTACATGCATTTAGGGAGATTAGTATGATATAGAAAATCTTTTGAGTAAATGTGCATTTGCAGAATATAGAACATATATTTAGCACTAATGATTTCTTATAGCCAGGCCAGGAACGTGTATTTAGAGAAGTATTGCATTTATGAAGGTTGCATTTATGAAGGTTTTACTATATCTAGAAAATATATACTAATTTAAAAGTTGAAATATAAGTACAGTCGACTTCCTCTAAGTGCATTTTCTCTCTATATGTATAAAAATAGTCTGGTTCCAAGTTGGGACTTATAAAATAAGTGCATGTTCTATATTCTCTAAATGCAGGTTATTTTTCAAATTATATATATAAAAATATTCTCTCTAAATGCATTTTTAATATATTAACCAATCAAATTCGAGAATATTTATTTAGATAATAAAACAATTAAAATTTATATATATATATTTTTTTTTATACAAGGTCTTTTCCTCATTTCCTTTATTAAATTTTATGTGTTAGATTACATGTTATCATTTATATAATTATATTAGGGAAATGGTGAATAAGCTATTTTACTTTAGACCTAAGTACGCTAAAGGATTACTGCCTTTAGACTTATATTAATAAGATATGATGTGGGTTTGTATTGTGACATATAATATGTATTAACCCATACATGGAATTTAGTTTTGTAAGTGCTTTCTATTTCCGGTATTGTTTGCTATGTAATTGTATTTAAGGAGGTAGGTGTGTTGCTGTTTTGACTGTTAGAATTTGATTGCGTTTGAATCTGGCTTGGTATCCAGATTGATTGGTGAATTTCCAAAATAAGTTCGTAGTAGAATAGGGGAGCAAAGTGTCTTGCATTAGCTGTCAGTATAAATGGTGGTAGACATTTTGTAGTTATTATTCCAATAGGTAGTTTGTTTTGAACATGTGTTTTAAGGAAGTTGGTTAGGAATGTTGTTTAATTTTGAATCTGTAGTTTGAATTTGTTAGTAAGTTTAAGTAATAAATCATTTATTATGTTTTGGATTTTATTGTCATTCATAGTGCAGGTTAACCAGTGTGCATCATCCTCATTAGAGGCATTGCATTTGTTGCAGATTGGTGAGAGGTATTTTGTTGGGTGCCTTTTGTGTAAGTTAAATAGGATTGGTAATTCTTGTATAATTGTCTTGATCTTGAAGTTTTTTAACCGGGAGATTTTTGGTCCGTAAAATAGTATAAAGGTTTATCCTTGAATTGTAAGTATTTAAATATTGTATTCCATTTGATGGTAGTTTGGTTGTTATTCCAGTTTTGAACTCTATGTAAAGAGGTGAAGGCGTCAAGGTTGTGTACTATTTGAGTTGTCTTTATTATTTCCTTGAAATTGATAAAAGTGAGGACGTTGTGAAAGGCTAGACGGTAAAATTGTGTATTGGTTTGGTTTGTATCTAGTTTTATTTTAATTTTTTCTATATTAGGATTAATTTTTGAGGTGATTTTAGTTCTGGAGATGTTTAGTATTAGATCTTTGGTTATAATTGTAGTTCTAATTAACAGTAATAGTTTACTAAAAGGTTGTCTTCGGAGTTGTTCATATGAATTGGGTATTGTATCCCATAATACATTGTTTAGGCTATTTAAGCTTGAGGAGTTAGTAGTAATATTCAGTTGTGAATTGTCAGGGGAGATAGCCAGCACTACGAGCAAACTTGTATATGCAATTTTTGTTATGTTTGGCCAGGTTTCATTATGTATATGCAATTGCATATCTATATTATTTAATATGAGAACACTAAATGAGACCTTGTATTCTATTTGTTTGCAGAATGATATTGTAATATTTACTGTGACTTCATTAGTTGTGGAATAGTTTGCATAAAGATTCCAAATTTTTTTTTTATATGCTTTGAATATCTTGACTAATTGTTTATTTTCTCTATATTATTTAGAAGTGTAGTTGAAGGAAGTTCGTTGTAGTCAAGAAAGGTTGAGTTTCTCAAGAAAATTTATCTGATTTCCATGTCACTGTTTTTTTGAGTTCACCTTTACTGAGTATGAGGTAGTAACTAGTTGCCAGAATGAACAGTAGATATTATTAGTGGATGTGTCATGAAGTCTGCACTTAGTGCAATAATGTAAAAAATTTGTATTTGTATCGAGATCCAGTGATGAAATTTATGCTTGTTGTTCATGGTAGATGTAATTTTGCCAAAGATTATATCAGTAGTGATAATCCATTTTTTGTTGGAAATTTGGGTTTTCCATATATATGGATTTGGAGAAGTTAGTTTGAATAATGGGTTGACTAATGTACACAGTGTGTCAGTTATTTCAGTGAACCATTTGGGTATCTTGTCCGAGGGATTTTGTTGATATTATGATGGAATTGGTGCCAACTTGTCAGTTCCATATTGTTAAAGTTAGTGAATTGTTTAATATCTGTAATTTTGTATGTATTTAGTAGTTTTTGATTTTTGAGACATTCTTTATTTCTTGCAGCACTGTGTTAATTGTATGTCCTGTTGATTTGTGAACTCTTGGCCAAGAATTCGCTTTTTTTTGCTACTGGAGATCAATGGAGTGGCAGTTAATTATGAGCTTTGCTGTAAATATTTTAGATTCGATTAGTATAAAAAGCGGGAGACTTGACAGAAAAATTTATATATTTTATACCTTTTAATAATAATATAAATTTTTTTTTTTTTTTTTTTTTTTTTTTTTAATGTTAAAGGTGAGACCATGCTCTTATCTTTATTAAACTTAATGAAAACTTTTTACATAATTGGAAAAGGTTTTATATCTTAAGTCTAGTACTAAGAATAAGAACTCAGACTAACTAGAAAAGTCAAATAGACAAGCCTAGTTTTTTATCTGTGGCCTAAACCTACCAGAGTGGCCAAGGCTCACCTAGATTTAAGATAAATTAAAAATATATAAAGGGTGTATATAGAATTGGATCCAGTTAGAATACCAAAATGATAGTTTTGAAAGAAATGTTTGCAAAGTAGTGTTAGAGTTAGTTATTGCAGGAAGTATATTAGTTGTAGAATTAGGTGATGAAGTTGCTTGAGGTTGTAAAGGTTAAGGTTGAGGTCTAGAGGTACAGTAGGGTATCCATATATTTGTGTATAGTTATTTGTTGATGTAAAGAAGTAGTTGTATAGTAATTGATTTAGCTATTTAATTTGATGTAGTATATTTTCGAATTGTATATATGATATCTAGTAAAATAAGTCCAGATAGTGTAGAGAAGATTGAAAGTTTGTTAGAGGAGTTGTGTGTTTGAAGGCTATCAAGATTTGAGATTTGGTTGTGCAATTAACGAATTTGAGCTGGAGAAACTTGAAGTTTGTTAGAATTGTTTGTATAAAAATTTTGATAAAATGATATAGAGGGTTTGGAAAAGGTCAAATTGTCCAGTGTAATGTAGTGCTGGTTTGTTGACAATTGTGACAAGTATCAGAAAAAGAATGGTTTCTTATATGTAAGGTATGAGGAATGGGGAGTTCGTCAGTAAGTAATTTAATTCTAAATGTTTTGAGTGTAGAAGATTGGAAACTGTAAGCAAAGTTGAAAAATTTTTAGTTGTTGTTAAGATAAAGCCAAGTTGCCTTCCAGTTGATATGCTGGGAGATTTGAATCTATGGTTGAAAACAGTCTTGGGAGAACCAGTTAGCTAAGATTTTTGCATAGCATATTGTTTGAATGCTATGACGAGTAGGAAGTTCAAAAGAGTAACTGTCTAAAAGAGGAATGTATGAGAGGTTATAAATATTACTAGGCTTGAATATAAGATGTGATATATTAAGGTAGTCACGAGCTAGTTGATCAGCTTTATTGTTAAAAATATCATTCTGGTGTGCTTTAACTTTGTGGAAAGTAATTTTTAAATTATAGGATTTAATAAAGTTGAGAAGCGAATTTCACATAGACCAATATGGAGTGTTTGAGAGCTTGACATTGGTTGTTTGCTAAGTTAGGCTGTTGTACTTAGAGATTATGGATTGGAAATCTGTAAAGATATGAATGTTGCAGTTTCTGGGTGTAGTGCACAGAGCAAATAGTATTGCAAATAATTCAGCTTTAAATGAACATGGCTATAAAGAGATTTGAGCATGGAATGTTTGAAGAATATTATTGTTATCAACCTGTAACCATCCAATACCTATAGAGTATTGAAGGTTATCAGTGCTAATAACAGACCCATCTGTATAAAAAGTAAAATTAGTAAAATACAAGTTGTGATTTGCAATCAGTTGAAGGGAATCAAAAGCAGTGCTATTAGCAAATATAGGGGATTTGGGAGGCTTGAATTGTGAGGTTTGGTGGTGAAAAATCTGGGTAGTGTTTTTAAGTTTTATTGAATATATGAGGTCAAGTGGGTTTGCATTGAAGTTGATAGATTTGTTAGAGTCAAGTCTACCTAAAAATTTAGTAGCTTGACTAGTTGGAATCAAGATAGTACACTTGTTATTAATAAAATTGGAGTTGAGAGAGCAGTTGGGACATGGTCTTGAGGTTGTGTTAGAAACAGGATATAATGATGAGTAGGAGGGTGTGATATTACTAAGCCAGTGGTTGATAAGTGTGTGTTCAGAGTTAGTAGATTGGCGATGAGCTTTGCCAGTAATAATTTGGTTAGTGAGTAGGGTAATAAGCCAGGGTTTGGAATATTTGTAGATAGTATAAAAGAACTAAAAAATGAAATTAAGAATTTGGAGAAAAAACTTGATAAGTTTATGAAAAAGGGCTCATTCTTTTGATACCAATACCGATATCGATAGTGGCAGAAATAGCAATTGCAACAGCAACAACAGCAATTACAATAGCAACAACAATTACAATAGTAACAAAAAGGGTTATAAAAAGCATAGAGTTACAAAAAGGCCCAGACACTTTTTGATGATATAAAAAAATTATTAAGAGTATGTATTATTGTATAAAAAAATAGTACTTTTTTTAATTTGCTAAATAGATATTGGCAATTATAATATTTAATTTAATCTATATAGATATTGGTATTTTATATTAATGATCTATCTATTTGTTCAAATTTATTATTGCAGAATGATATAATAATTTCACTATCTGGGCTCGAACAATCAAATCAATCTGATCTTTCTAAGCATTGGATTAATTTTAAGAATGTTTTTCTCCAAGGTATGTTTAAAACAGTAAAATGTGATATAAAAAAGTATTAGGTAGAAGACTACTGTATTTTAAAAATAATAAAGAAAAAACACAAGAATCAAAGAGAAAAATTTCTCAAGCAACAAAACCTGGAGTCTGATAGTCAAAATCGTGCGAGAATGCATGAGAACAGAAGAATGGAATCTGTAAGCTGTTTTTTTTTTAGAATTAATATATTAATTTATATAAATATCAGTACTGCCTTATATATTTTTTAATTATATAATTT